GAACTGATTTGAGGGAATTGGGCTGGAATGCTGTTTTCATAGGGGCACTGGTGCCTTTCTGCCATTTTGCATCTGAGTGCAATACTAACTTTTTGCAGAGTCAAATTGAAAAGGCTTGATGCGAATTGGCTACTCAGGAAGATTTCGTTGGAAGAGAAATGTCAGTCTAACTCTTTGAAATAATATATTTTAAAGGAAAATTTGTATCGTGACTCCCGAAATAGGTTGACAAGATAAAGCTCAATTTATGATTAAATTTGTGCCTACTCAATGTGTTTCATGATATGTCAATTCAAACAACATATTTCATGTTATTCGAAAACACCATTGGCTGGAGATACGCGCCTTTCAAAACTGCATGCATCCTGCTAACTTTATTGAGTGCGTAACCTAGAGAATTCTCCTGGGAGGAGGTTTTTGGAAGCAATCGACGCCTTGGCCTGGGTACTGGTAGCTTGATCTACGGATATCCTACACTTATCAGGCTGCAGATACTTCCCTTTGTCATATCTTCCCATGCAGCAGCCCATTTAGAAGGTTCTTTCAAGCATCAACAGCAGAGTTTAACACAGAAGAATAAGGTGGGAATATCTTTCTAGAAAATGTCGTCTTGAATAAGTACAGTGTAGATTGGACTTAATTTAAACCTTAGCCTTAATTGAAAGTCTGTAGGATTATTGTAGATAAAGACTCAAAATATGTCATAATTTAAGGCTCCGACGTGAATAAGCCACTTAACAAGACACTTACCTCACGATAGCGAAGTGATCCAAGTTTGACTTCAGTATATACACTCTTCAGCGCGAATGTTTTGAAGGTAGGCTCATCATCTGATTTATATTTGCTGAAGCTGCCTATGAGCCACCGAATCAACCAATGATAACTGGGCAGGACAGCCAAGTTGTCTCGTGCATCTAGGGAGAGGATGCAGAAACTCCCTTCCTTCGGCCCAAACGGAATTATATCCGATTGCATGAACATACAGGAGCACTCTAGTGAGGGGGCTTGAAAACTTGTGCTCCTTTTTAAGGCAAACGATACAGCATTTTGCATATCCAACTTCTTAGGGTTCTGCAGCGTGATAAGATGTTTTAAGCCCTATACTGCCAGAGAAAATAGACTCATAGCCTAGAAACTTATAGATAACAAAAGTAATGTACAAATTAATCATCACGATTAGTATATGAGTAAGAGCTAATCTCACATATGCGCTCATTCTCAATAATCAATGCTCAAATAAGATATTCCAAAATTGTCTTTATTTGCCTTATTTGCGACTTTCATGTGAGACGTCTGAGTCAGAAGTTTTTGCCTCTGAAAAAAATTCACCAGGGTTCGAATCTGGCTAGTAAGGCCGATAATTGAGGGTGGCGGCTAAAACCCACATTCCACCCTGAAACGGAGAGTTTGTCAAGTATGCCCGGCAATATGACACAATCGTTCATCAGAAGATGTACAATTACTTGTCGTTTCCAGAATATCATTGCGTTTATTAATTAAATCTCTCGGTTCTTGAGTGCGGATAACCAAGGAAAAGTGAAGCCTTCGTGTGGCAACATTTCCTCCAACGCGGATACGCCTTGGCGAGTATGGCTCAGATTCTAGCATAAACGGATTAAAGAACTTAGTCAATCGAGGTTGGTTAAGAAGTGATAGAAGAGTTTTTCCCACAAATATATTTTTAGGCATCATGTTACCTATGAAGTTCACTTAGTCTTTTCATTAACTTTCTATAATGCCCACGCTGTGCTAATCGAGGTTGGTCGAAATCGAATTAACCATATTAGAGGAACAGTATTTTGCGAAGAAATCCTTGGCTCCCGAAAAATTTGTTCAGTTTTCGTTGGTCATGTGGCTGACATCATCAAAGCGTGAAAGCATCATTTAGGAAAAAGCAGCTGGCCACCTTATCTTGGTTCAATGTTTGGTTGAACTTTTCCATGATTGATTTCTCATACCGACAATGCCTACCATATCATTGGCAAAAACTCTGTACGGATTTGTCGATGTCCCATGAAGATGAATTTATGACTTCTCTTAATCCAAAGTACTCCCGAGACCTTTTTTGGCTAGGCTATTTCACGAAATCCCTTCCATCAACTTTTCTTTTTAAATAAAAATCAAGTCACATTAAAATAAGCTTTTCTTCTGTCTATACTATAGTGTACTTATGTGTTGTAGTCAACTCTCGTAAACTTATTGATTGATAATAGGGATTCTCACACTTACTGGATAGGCCTAGCGACGACAGTGAATTTTAGTTAGCTTTGCCTCCCAAAGGTTTCCTCATCTTGTTTGGGTCTCATCAGCACCACAAGGGAAATATAACTCGGCTAGTTTGTGTCAAGTCTCAACAAATTAGCACTGGTATTTGATCGAAGATATGAAGACCAAGATGGTGTGGCCTTTTGTGTGGTCGCAGTTTCCTTTCGTTGTATAGAA